GAGAGAGAGAGAGAGAGAGAGAGAGAGAGAGAGAGAGAGAGAGAGAGAGAGAGAGAGAGAGAGAGAGAGAACGAATGTGAGGACGAGTGTTAGAATGTAAGGAGAAGCGAACGAGGCAAGTGCGAAATAAAGAAAAGTGATAAAGTCGTAAAAGAGTTTAAAAATTAATACCCGGATATTTCCTACAATTGGCAAACGGGCGTGACCATATACAGGGTGACCATGCTAAAGTGTGACAGACGCATATTTCAATAACTATTGATGATACGAAAAAATTGTTTGTATGTTAATTGGAGGATACAATGGGCTCTATATTGTGGCGTAAATGAAATTTTTTTTATATTATTAATTTAAAAGATACGATGGTGAAGTTTCGTTTTTTAACGGGACTATATATTTTTGGAGGGATCATGCGATAGTTCAAGACGAAAGGATAGATTACTTACCAAGAGAAATTCTTACAAAATATTCTAAACAAAATTGGGATTGAATTTATTGAGCTTCTGAATAGCCACACTATAGAGGATTTATTTTGTTTAATTGATCGTTTATTTACCAGCTGCTGCTAAACTCTTCGGCAATTCGTAACTCGTGTAATGAAGAGCAGCAATCAGGCGTCGACACTCGAATGGATTCAGACGTGCAGCTAAATATTCCAGTTCGCTCAAGTTAACATCTATGGTACTAAGTACTTTGTATTGGGACAGAAGGACGATAAAACACAGACATGTGGACCATTCTATTAATAATATTTTCATCGCAAATGTTAGAACGATACCATTTCACGATCTCGAAACAAAAGAACTGACTTTTGTTTCTTTAACCTTAACTCTTTTAATTAATAAGCAAGAAGTCGAATGTGAGCTAAAAAAAAATAGTCTATTTGCTGCAATAAGTTTATAAGATAGTTATTTCCTTCGCTTTCAAAATCAATTATATGAGCTGAAAGATATGATAAATAATGTCATTTACGTTAATTTCTTTGAAGTTGCCTTTAATCGCATATTTTTATTTATTTCGTACCGAGTAAAAAGTCTGAAACATATATAAATATGGGTGATGCTATAGTTATGCTTCGCAGTTATTGTCGAATTATATTCAATACTTACAATTAGTGTCATAGTGAAATATTAATCCCCACGTTTTTGACACTTGTTAAATAATATAAGATATTGTAAATAGAATACATGTTTATGTCGTTAAAATATCTCAACATTTTATTTGAATTTATATGAAATTAAATATTTAAATATTTTTTAATAAAAATATACGGCACTGAATAATTTCCTGCCTGACAATAAGAGCCAAAAAAACTTATCTATGTTTTATACGGTAAAATTATTTATTGTATGCGACAAGTAAAAGTTGTTCCTCTGTGATTAATTAGTTGTTGATAAACTTCAGTGGTGCGCTCGTTCGTTACAACAATCACACTTGAGTACAAACACGAAGAACGTTTAATAAAAACTTTATGCAATCATTCGTTAATTTACACGTTTCATCTGTACGGCCTTTTCTTTCTTTTCTTCTTGTAGCACTTGTAACAACCCGTCGGCGGTGGTTCTTCGGGTTCTTTGGGTACTACGGCTATGGTGTTTTGTGTACCCATGTCCACCAGTTCGTAAGACGGCTCCCGTTTCCTCTTTGGCCGTGCTTTTCGAACATAATAGCCCGGTTCATCCGTGTCGATTGCTATATATTTACTGATTGAAAAATGATGTTACTGATTAATAATTCTGTACTATTCTAAACATCGTCAAATGATTATCGAACCATGTGAATAAAAATAAGCATATTAAAGCGTTCATTCATAAATGTTGAAAATTTATGAAATATATAAAATACATATTAATTTATGCTTTTTATTCATACGGTTTATTAATTTGGGAAAAGAAATGCTGATGTTATAATCACCCCTTTTTCTTTGATTTCGTCTTCTTACTTCTCCCAAATATTCTATTGAATACATTCGCTATCCTGTGTCTTATAAATAAAGTGCAACAACAAGTTAAAAGTATAGTCGAGATCAGAACGATCCCTCCAGTTTTTATCGATACCTTGATGGTATATCCTGCAATTAATCGAAATACACGGACGATTAAGATGGAATTATCATGGAATTAACGAGACGTTTCATTACCACTGAGTCTGTCAATTGTTTGGTTGGAGCTTTTAGTGCTTGACGTGCTAACGGTAGTATCCTTCCCTTTGCCCGGTTGTGCTGATATCGTTGTGGTTATTGGATCCTCTCTGAGACAGTAAAATGTATAGTAACATTTCTTTTGTACAAGATATAGTTCAAGTGGCGAGAAAAAGTGTTGTTCAATTTTTTGTGATTTGAACAAATATCTACTAATAACATAATTAATCACTTTATTGACATTTGAGTTAAAAATAAAAGAAATATATATTTTTGTTATATTTTCTATACATATATTTTCTATCTTTAATTTTATGCTGCTGTCAAATGGAGTGAATTGGAATAACGGAATAACTTGCAGCCTTTTGTTGTTTATTCGATTTTTTATTTTTGCTATTTTCTTCGTCGACGTTAGAGAGTAAATATCATCATAATTTATTTTCTGTAACATTAGTAAACAGTAATGAAGAAAATTTGGTTATTTCCAAGCTACTTTTGTAAGTTTTTTCTTCTCATTAGAGAAAAAGATTCAGCGAACATACATAGATACTTGCATGTGTATACTAAAATGATTACACATAATTTTTTTGCATATGATATTATGAATTTACATTACGTCCCTAAAAAAAGGATATTTTGATCATTTAATATAGGTTATTACTTTTATGCGAAATATTTGTTTTTGCTCTGTGTTGCATGTGTTGGGTACTTGCAACACCGACAATGAGTTTTTGTACAATTATATAAAATACTTGCAATATATTAATGTTCGAGGTTATTTTATCGATGCCTTCTCAAACATGTGTTTCAAATCACCGTTGTTATTTAATTTTTTTTTGGTAAATTTACTTAATAAATTATATCGGGAATGTACAAAATGATCTTAACGAAGGACCTATGCAAATTATTCTAAAGCAACGCTTTAGAAGGCCATTCAAATTCTTTTAAACAATCATATCTTTGCTATACTAAACAAAATAAATGTCTGATGCCTGTTGGTGGGGTAATTCAGAACACCTAATTTTGGTCTCTCCAGAGCAAAATTGTGGATATCAAAATGTGTGAAAAATTGCGTTAAGCAATTCCATTTGACGGTAATAAATTGTTTGTGTCCAAAATTGGATGAAGATAATTTAGACGATATGGAGTTTCATCAAGACGGTGCCACATGTCACAATGCTGGAGTTACTATTGTCTTATTCGAGCAAACATTTAGTGCATCGATAGTTTGAAACAATGCAGTTGTTACTTAGTTTCCAAGATGTGTCTGTGATTTGGCTCTATTAGATTACTTTCTTGTTTTTGTAAGATTATTCGAAATCAATTGTCTACGTCAACAAACCATGACAACTGGATAAATTAAGGATAAATATCGAGCAATGTATTCGTAAAGTTAGAATCGATACACATTAGTGTGCATAAACACCTTTGATTTAGATTTTGACTTTTTTTTCATTAAGAAATTAAGTATTTATTTTAAAACCTATAATTATGCACATCACTTGTATTGAACGAAGTGATTGAAAATTGAGTTTATATATTCCTGTAAATAAAGACGAGGTGGGCATTCAATTGATGTCAAATTGCACACAAAATGGTCATGCATTTAAAATAAAAAAAAATGGGTTTATCTTGATTTATTGTTGCTTTACTTAATTTTAATATCATATCGTTCTTATCGAAAAACTCTTTATTAAATATCGTGGAATACAGAGAACTTACTCTGAATCTTCGGCAGATTGAACGTCGCGAGCCACTTTCGATGCCTTCGAACTTTTCATATTCAATTCGGAGAGACACGCAATTAAGTCCTTTCTTCCGATGCGTTCAAGAAGATCGTTTAAAATTGGATACGTGTTTCTCGTAACTGTTCTTAATTGACAGATCCATTTCACCAATCTTCGAAAGCAGCTCTGTTCTTCGGCTATTTTCTGTATTTGTGCATCTGACAGCGATGCTGCAAAAATTACGTTACAAATCGTTGTATTAAGATAATTTACACAGTTAATTATTTGTTTTTTGGAAAGTTTCTTTTAACGTTTGAGAAACTATCGACATTTAGCATAATAAAGTTTCATAATAGTATACAAAAATACATAAGTCGTCTACAGTTCATCGTTTGGATTAAAACAATTTTATAATAACAATTTTTATATTACATATTGAAATATTAATTCAAAAGATACAAATACATACAGATCGTTGATAGTTCATTCTTTAAGTGAAGATAATTTTAATATTGTATATATATTGGAACATTAAATCATGGGATATAAAAATAATGTTACATGTTTATTTATCAGTGAAGATAAAACCTTGAAATAAAATCTTAATTTATTAGAAAAATTACGAAGAAAAAAATTTGTTTAGCATTTCAGAGAACTTTATTGGAAACACAAAACTGTTTCCACTCTCTTTTTACGTTTCGTCGTAAAATAATTCATACGTATGATCAACTTACACTGTGAATCTAAAGAGACAAGTCTTACACACTCTTCCGGTTTTAAGTTCGATGCTAATAGCTGGAGTTCTGGCACATCGACTTCGGCAATAATCTTTGCGAATCAAATAAAATGTATAATAATGCATGATGAAAATTAAAACGTAGTTACATTCATCCGTTGTGTCTTTAAAGTTAATGTTTTTAATAAAAACTCGTTCGTTAACCTCAATTGAAAATGTTTATTTCTCGTCGTCGCGATTGTGCGATTCATTTCAATTATTTTTGCACGAGAAGATACATAGAAAATTGAATCTGAAAGTAAGTGTACCTGCGACAAAGAAGAGGCACAGTAAAGCAGAAGAAAAAACGGTGCATTTTTAGGAATGTTTCTTAAGTTCATCGAGGGCCCCAAACAAATTTCACATTCTAGTTCGTTGCATTGTTTGTTGATTCCATGAATCCATAAATTCTGGAATCGACTTAATACGAATGCAGCTAGTAATACGCTTTTACGTTTGTAAAGTCTTATCGAACTTCTGCAATAAATGTAATTGATTGGTTAAGTCAACAAAAGGATACAGAAAAAGAATAATTGAGGAACTGGGGGTAATGGATTTCTTAAAATAATGAAAGAAACTATACCTCAAGCATAAAGTTTTTTTTAACAACGTAACGTATACACAGCTCGACGTAGCTATTTTTTAAAGTTAGTGTTCAACACTTTTAAGTTTATTAACAACATGTAAATAGCATCACAGAGAGGATACGATATGCTAAAATACTTTTATGAAACAGTTATGTCCAACTTCATAGTTGATCGATACTATATAGACTTTACCAAACTTCTGTATTTTATGGGAACTTGTGGCGTGAATATATATTCAGACGTTAAACAACTTATCAGAACAATTCATATATAAAATGATGTTTGAGAGATGATTTTTAAACAGATAGGTCATTTTTTGTTATTGATTCAAGCAATTTATTAATATTCGAATAGAAATGTATCGAAACAGTATGAAAACGTTTTGATATTCAAATATTAATAAATGGCTTGAATCACAAAGGAAAATTCTTCTTCCTTAATTGTTCAAAACATTTATTTTGCAGAATTCTTGATATCAAGGAAACGTATCACTCTCATATGATAATTTGATAATCGATAGAGTTGCAAAGACTGTCAGTTGTAAATCTGTCAAACGAATTACTCTTTTGACAGAGAAATTTTACGCACGTTCGTTTTATAATGACATTTGTACGCACGCTTTACATTTTGATTGTCGTTTTTGCAGAAAACAAGGTGAGCCCATAAGAGTTATTTTTGACCTTCGATTATATTTAGAAAGATTAATATTATACCAGACGTAACGCATTGATAATCTACTGATAAAGCAATGCGTAGATAAGTGATTTCTCTAGTGCACAATGTCACATTCCACGTGGTTTAACGCGTTGAACACTTGAGAAATTTCCATGCGATTCATGCATCGTGAAATATTCAGACCAACAAAAAATAAATCAATTTTTCATAAATATCAGAAACAAGAATATTCATTCTCAAACACGAAATATCTAACCATGCAAGAAATATTTCATTACTCGTTAATTTCGCAAGCAAGAATACCCACACTGAAACTCTCACAGAAATAAAAATATTTCATTTTGTTCATTAATAACGGTAGTAGGAAGAAAATAAAACTTTCTGTTCAAGGAAAAATCGCTCGTTCGATGTATCGTTAACCTCAAGGAGACCGAGCTTGTACATCTATCCCAGCAATTAAATCCTTTGGAATGTTTGCAGCTCGTAAAAGCTGTGTATGAATTGTCTCCATCGGGAGAAGAACGCGAAGAGAAGAAATATAGAGTGTTAAATGGAGATTTAACTCGTTTGTCGGCTACTCCGAACGAGTGTCTCGTTAACCTCGAAGAATGGAACAATGACTTTCCAAGTAAAACAATTAGGAAATAATTAGAAAATAGGACACAATTACATCATTATTTTAGTCATTCATTAAATGTTTCTGAATGAAATACCTTATCTATGTATATAAAACGATATAAAATATCATTTTTTAAATTAAATTATGTATTTTAGATAATAAAGTCTGACATATCAATGATACATCACAAATGTTTTTGACGTAATATTTCATTCTTTTAGTAATTATTTATTGTAAACGAAAATTATTTAATGTATAAAGTGATATAAGGACCAGTAATTATTGCCATTAAATATTTATTTATTTAATTATATATCATGTATAACAATATATTTTATATAAACAAATATTAAATAAAGTAGTATATAAATCAATATATATTGATATATATAATTGAATAATATAACATATTGATACATAATTTATAATATTATAATATTTGCAGCACAACTTTTTTAACAAGTGTTTCATGACCATCTTACCATATTTTTATATACATATTTCCTTGTACCATAGTTCAGTGTTTAGTTTTTTCGCAATATGTTTTTTTCAATTTATAGTACGATAGAGGGTTTGAAACTTAAAAAAATGTCGTTACTAAAACGTAGATTCACTTTTCAAAATTTTCTCTAATTTTCATAATTTCAAAAAAGTTTATATGACAATGGTTACTCCACTACTTGAGATATTCCTCCCATATGAAGTAAAATACACTTTAATTGAAAGAATTGTACCTAACACAAAAACGGGGTGTCTTAAATGTGTAAACGTTTTTCTTGTGAATGAAATGAAAGCACGTTTGGACGAATAGTTATGGAGCAGTAAAAATGTAAAATCCATATTTCGTCATAGAAGGTCCAAAATTCGGAGGACGTTCAGCAATGGAGATGACGCTGAGATGGTTAGGACGACCTGACCTGGCAAAGTATGTGAGAGAAAATCGCAGATCGATTAAATTCCTCGATAGGGAGGATTACGATATAGCCGATACGTTAGAATTTCCAGGACACAAAGTGTCAAGGAGGCATAGCCCTGAGAATAGCAAGTATTCATCGGCAAAAGGAAAGCAGGAAAAGAAGAAAAGAGGGCATCAAAGACACACTTCCGCGACGTCGCATAAAGGGATTCATAGAGCAATGGCTGCAGCAACGGGACACAGCGCGTAAGAATTTCCAGAAACATATTAAACAACTTTTTCGGGAAAATTTTTTTTCTGATAAGCAAACTGAAAGCAGTTCTTGAAGTAGGCGGTGAATATATTTGAAAATAATCGTTCCAACATGTTCTGAATGTACACGGTCTGCCCAAAAAGTTTCTGAACTTTCATCAAAACTCACTCTGTATAGTAATAATTATACATTTAAATATATATTAGTCGAAATACATTTCATCTGAAGAAATACAATTTTTACTACTGTCTTTAAACTCCAAAAATTCAAATTAAATACCGAAAAACAAAACAAATACGAAACACCATATTTCATTACATAATATAATGGTTTTCAAGAAGTTCGAATCATTATCAGTTACAGAAATGATCTTTTGAGTACAGAACTCACGTCAGACTCGATTTTGATTGTCGTTTAAAGAATGGAGAATAAATCGCGCACAGACTTTTCACAACTTCAAACTATCGGTCAAAATTTGATACATTTGTGATTTACTAATTCCAGTGATATCTTCGACAAATCTCACAGACATACAATGGTCCTGTTCGAACAGATTACGAATCTTTTCAAAGATTTCGTCCGTTCGACTGTACGAAGGCTTCCCGCTGCTCTCGTCATTTTCTAGCGATATTCTGTCGTCTCTAAACTTCATGACCCACTCGTAAACTAATGTATACGATAAGCCTTTGTCCCCATAAGCCTCTTGTAACGTTATTAATGTTTCTATAAACATTTTTGTCCAGTTTCGCATAAAATTTGATATTTGCTCTTTGTTACATCGTGACTTCTCGACGAGTGTTACAAAGGTTGGGTCGGTTTTATATTTGTGGTAAAACAATTGATGGACAAAACTGAATTCCACATACAGAATTTGATAATAAAACTTCATCGAAGATGGCGCAACCTCATTTAATTGGTTGACGCTACTGATACCATCAGTACGAAGAAAGTTTGGACATTTTTTAGACAGACCGTGTGTTTTCATATTTAGTTGTCGGACAAATATTGTCTTTAAACAACGTCAGATAATTATCCATCAACCTAATACTTTAGTATAGGGTTATACAATAAAGTATAAAGTTAAGTTTACTTTCAAGTGTTTGTTTTTATATAACGTGTAGTGCACTATAATCCTATTTTATTCTAAGTCGATACGATTGCATTTTGTATAAAGATCAGAAGGAATTTATCGAGTCGCGTAAGCCGCATAATACGTCCTTCCTTTGGATGCTTACAATTAATCTATCTTGTACTTTTATTGTGGTGTTAAAAACATTTTGTATCTAATCTAGATTTTGTATCTAATCTACAATATTCCCTTGTTACAAACATTTTAGAATTATTTATAGCTGCTATGAACGATGCATTAAAGCATTTTAATACTTGTAATTCCATATTAAATACACACTTATTATATTCTTTTATTTCTAACAATTGTAAGCATGAGTCTAAGAAAAAATTTAATTCATCTTCTTATATTCAATTTAAAAAAATTGAATTATGCGTGTAGCGTATACATACGATTGCTTTTAAATAAATCGTAGTGAAATGTATTTATTTTCCTAATATCACAGAGTTTAATATCGTAAATACTAACAATTTTACATGTATCTAATTATTACTTAAAGTAGAATGCTTTAAAAGAAAAAGACATACTAAAATATTAAACAGTGATATAGTAACACTGGGCCAATTTTAAAACATTTCAGTCATAAGGTTCGCGAACTGAAAAAGAAAGAAAATAAATCGCAGTCGAAGAAGGGTTACCTTGAAGAGCACCGATCAATTTATGGGTCAATCGTGGTTGTTCTATTTTTCATTGTTCTTTGTCTCGTGGCAGCCTACTTCCTTCATAGACGAAATCTTTCCAAGACCCGTGGTACGCGATTCAAGTAATTATCATAGACAAACTAAACGTAATTTACAAACATGAAAGTTTCAGAGTATTTTAAATGTATTTAGTTTTTAATAGGTTAAGAAACAAAATTGATAATTTCGTTATATAGTTATAACGTTAATTTTTTCATGGTTGGTGTATTTCTCTACAATAGACGATTTAAATTAATTTCCAACAAAGTTTAGTCACTTTGTGTTTCTTTTAGCTGTACATATTATAAAAAGAGACCTGAAATTTACAGTGGATATAAATGATAAAAATTGCTTACAATTAAAATTAAAATCCAATTTATAAAATTTTACGTACAATTTTTGTATCTTATCGTATAGGTTTAATTATATATTGAAAAGTGAATATTTTTATAAGTACAAATAATATTAAAAAGCCCTTATGAATATATATAAAGTGAGTAACTAAATATTAAGCTCCTTTTGCTGTTGAGGCTGATAGTGGTTTTTATTATTATTTTACGCTCTCGAGCTACTGTGTCGATATTCTCATAATCAAAATATTCTGGACACAGTTGTTTAAGTAAATAAAAGTCATCGTAAGCAAATAGAGCTTAGTGTTTAGTCACTCATTCTGAAATCATTTTAATAAGTTATTCCATATAGTGGTGTAAATATTTGTTGGCTTGTTTCACTATGGATATTAAATCGATATAAAAAAAAAAAGACAACAAAATTAGTTACACATAAGTATGCTACATACTTGAAAAAAATATTCATAAATAAATATTCATTGTCCTAAGACATGTGTTACGATTGCGAAAAAGTGATTTTCATTATTATTATTTTACACTCACAAGATTGTGCGTTGATATTATTAAAAATAAATTAATTAGTATGCAGTTAAGAAATTACGTGTTATTAATTCATATAAGGGATGCATTCCCTTAGAACTAATTTCAAGAAAATTCCAACGTATAAACGATTTAAAAAAAGTAATTATTACATTAGTGGTATTCACCTATAATTAGCTTTACTACTTAATTGCAAATGATTATAGTGAATTCGATCATTGCGTTCATGTTTGAATATAATTCGGTTTCCGTCAATTCTAAAATGACTTACTTCCGATTTGCATCTTCTATATTCAGGTACAGTTGGTTGCCAGATAAAAAGGACAAGGACACTCTTACCGATCACATCGAATGGAACGATGAACCTTTCTGCTCCTGTTCGGATGTCGAGGTTGGATGTACGGGAAAATGTGCCACGTGTAGTAGAAATTATCAAATTCTTTCTGATGTTCCCAATAAACACGTGAATTCGGTTTGCGTGCAAAAACCGAAAGACAGGAAACGAAAGAAGAGACAACGGTTCAGTTTTCTTCAAAAATGTTCTCAGGACAAGAAACGGGAGAAGGACCAGGAAAATCGGGATAGGAAGTGCGTAAAAAGGAAGAATACTGGGACGATAGGATATAGAAACTAGCAAGATGCATCACGAAAGCCTTTCCACGAATCATCCAATATGTTTATACCATTATTACATTAACACTAGAACTACAGAGGGCGATTCATATCTGTTAAACACTCAACTATATATACAGGGTGCCTCATTATAATTTTTCCACGTGATTATCTCGCAAAATATTCATCATTCGAAAAAAATGTTTAAACGAAACGTGCTCTATCTGAAGGGGGACATTCAATGGTGTACACTGTTTTTTTCTAGGTGGAGGCGCCTCCGAGATTTGAAGGTCACTTTTATTTTTTTTTAAATGGACACGTAGTTTTCTTCACGCTAGACACATAGCTTATCTCGAGACGAATTCCTTGGCTTATATTATGTTGACCTTGAAATGTCATTCAAAGGCATTTCCATGGCTTAAAGTTTTCTTCTTCACTGCACGTTCAGCGTATCATGATCTACGGTGTCAAGAATCCTTCGACGACATTATTTTCTTTACATCAAGCATTACGTGACGCCAATTATGATGCCAGATTGAAATTTTGTCAATGGTCTCAGCGTAGGATAATGTGTGATCATTTATTTTTCTCCTATGTGCTATTTTCGGACGAAGCAACTTTCAAAAACACGGGAGAAATGAATCGTCACAATTTCCACTATTGGTGTGATAAAAACCCTCACTGCCATCGAGCAATTGAACATCAGCGTCAATGGTCTCTAAATGTTTGGTGTGACATTATTGGTGGCTATTTAGTGGATTCATATTTTTTTATGATACACTAACTGGAGAACAATACAATAATTTTTTTCGTAGTGAGTTGCAAATCCTTTTAGAAAACATTCCACTGGCCACCAGAAGAAGAAAACTTTAAGCCATGGAAATGCCTTTGAATGACATTTCAAGGTCAACATAATATAGGCCAAGGAATTCGTCTTGAGATAAGCTATGTGTCTAGCGTGAAGAAAACTACGTGTCCATTTAAAAAAAAACAAAAATGACCTTCAAATTTCGGAGGCGCCTCCACCGAGAAAAAGACAATGTACACCATTGAATGTCCCCCTTTAGATAGAGCATGTTTCGTTTAAATATTTTTTTCAAATGATGAATATTTTGCGAGATAATCGCGTGGAAAGATTATAATGAGCCACCCTGTATCTTTAAAATTACAGGGAAATTGAAAATTGTAGCAAAAGCATCGTTAGTAATTGAATACTTTTGAAAATAAGCTCGACAAACACCAGTCAAATTTACTGGGTTGATAGTCAGTAGACATGACAAACACAATGTGTTGCAACGTAACACCACACAACACAACATAAAACTACATAACACGACGCAATGCAAAATAAAATAACGTAACAAAACGAAAAAGGATATTATACAACATATAAGATTATGTTGTCTAGTGTTAATTTATTGCTCTTGTCAGTATCGTGACTAATCTGCTGCAAAAGCATCATTGAAATTACGTAATGCATCTTGTGCGTACTTTATCGATAATACATCAGCATCTTTCCACGACTTAAGGAAAACTTTAGAGAAATGCGTTACAAAGAAACGAGAAAAGCATCCAATTATTTCCCAAGGAGACTATCGACAATGTGCATGCTGCAAGTGTAATTTAAGCTCTAAAGGTATACATAGAGACGAATAAATTTTATTTGGAATACTTTAACTCGTTATCGTACATGTGTTTACTTAATAGTAAAAACACTTTTTATTTACTTAGAGAAGATGATTCGCGAAAGAAAGGAGAATGAAAAGAGAGGACTGTATAAATTGAAACCGAAAAGAAAGAAAGAAAAAAGACGAAAAGAAGATTTGCGGAGAGTAGAGAAATATGGAAACGTATGTTACAGGGATACATGTAAATGAATTACTACTTGGAAAGGAAGAGGCATGGAAATATAATAATATCCAATAAGAAATAAAAAATGCAATGTTTTTGTATTAATACAAGGCGTTTAATATAATCTTAGGTAATAAAGTATGCTAAAGATCTTCAAATAATATGTCAATTACACATTGAAATGAACGAATTGTATACGAAATAAATCGATAACTTCGATAAAATCATTGCCTAATGTTATATTAAAAATATTATATTTTATTAAGATCACTATAGTTTTTCGAAATTTTTGTCCTCTAATCGAATTGATTGTATGTTTTTGTAAAACATTGATACACTTGAAAGCTGTCATTTTATAATCTTTGTCGAAATTATTGTTAATATAATATTAATGTGTAAATTGATACAAGGATTTTTCACCTCGTAGTACATTTATTTTTCAGTATTATAGTACCTATAGCTAATATCTTTTGTCGGCAGATGAAATATCACAAATTGTAACATTTATATAATATATAATCTTGTAACATATATATAATATAATATTACATATAGTTTCTATTGATTCTTCTATTTTTATTTTACAAGATATACTTTATCTGTTCCTATTTTATCTTATTGTTCGTACACAGAAACGTTTTCTATTATAGAAAACCAGTCATAGCGAACGTTGTTTATAACATTTTTATAGGACAACTAAGAACACATTTTATTAATGGTAACGGATAATCGAGGAAGTTGTTAAGGTGACGTTGTAATGATAGTTGTAATTATGGCAATGAAAATATGAGTATCGGACTATGATGTTGCACTTATTGTAATACTCCCTATGTTGGTGGATACTACTATTAAATACGTATTTCTTATCACAGTAGAAATCGTATGTTGTGTATTTATATATTGATCAAATTAAATAGAAAATATGATATCTAAAACATGAATTAAATATCATATTCTGAAGAATAAACTACGAACATCAAAAAATAAAAAAATCATAATATTTTAAGATTATAAGATTTTTTTTATATCATAAGATTTTTAGTTCGAGTACCGTGAACATATTCAAAAATATTGGTTACTTTATTTAGATTACCAATTTTTTAATTTTTATGAGTAATATGTTGCATTCACATATCACGGAATCACATACACATCATCGGAATCCATTTTATGAAAATCATTTTGTAATTTATAGTAATTGTAAAATTGTATATATTGCATTGTCATTTAATTTGAAATTCAAATCGAGTAAGATTATGCCTTGGATAGGTATTTGATGTTTAGAAAGTTGTTCATTCTACATAAAGAAGACTCTCGATAACAATATTTCTTTATTAAATACAAAATATTGCTTTGATATTAGAAACATATTTGGTACTCAACCTTTTTTTTTTTGAATCTTTAAAAGTTTCGAATTCTCAATTACTTTAAACATAATATTTTATTCGTTTATGTTAGATCATATAAAATCGAATACTTTTTCGAGTATTTTGGATTAGGTCGAAATTTCGATATGTTGTAGTCTGTAGACAACTACCAAATAAAAATTACTTCGGTATAAACAACTTTTAAAGACGTAATTCTATAAATCTTATTTACCGATAATACGTCAAAGAACTCGATAATTTAAAACAATTCACACGAAAATAGTCCAATTAAACGATTGTTAACACTGAACGAATAATTTCTAAATTCGACACAACAAGAGAAACACAAAATTTTTATGAATTTACACCAGTGTCTTGTCAGTTGACAAATAGAAATGGTAAATTGGAATGGTAAAACTGATTATTTACTTACTAAATATGATATAGATTATTTACTTTAGGGATCTTCGAACTGTCCTTCTTCGTAGTCCGTCGACCAAACTAGGGTTCCATTTCGCAACATTGGAATAATCCGCGTTAGGATCCGTTTTTCATGATATTCCCCAGGACAGTAGACACGCTGGAAAGGCTTGTAAAACGTGAATGGCGAATAAACACGTTGCTTTGGTTCTCTGCATTCTGAAAACAGAGCATAGCGTTTCAAACGCATGACTTAACTTTTTTTATCATTCTTCTGACGTAATACGGACTTTTATTCACGCCGATAATGATACAGCATGAGTTTCTAATGACTTTCTTCCTCTTTTTTTTATAATATATTGTTTCTACTAAACCATACAATATAATATTTCAATGACTGGTATATTTATACTACATGCTTATAGAGATAAATGAAATATCGTCAACAGTTAAAATTTTATTGCGTTTAAAGTGTTAACTGTCGGCTTTAGTTGAATCTTACCATGAGGATCAAATTCATCAGCTGAATCTTCTGAGGTATCCCAACGCTCATCCGTTATTTCTATTCTGTCTGGTCTAAAACGAAAGTAACATTGTCCCTGTTGATTTTTATATGACTAATTATGAATATAAATTTCGTTACACTGAGGAGGTTAAGGCAACTTCGTTGTAGAAAAAAATATAAAGAATTTTTCATTTATAAAGAATGCAATAGTTTGTAATTTCTAAAAATAATACTGAATAGTCCTCATTGAAAAAGTCGTAATAATGGTAAAAGTATTTTTAAATATTACGGGTAAATATAAATGCTTCAAACGGTAGTAGCATTATAACAAGAATTCAAAAAGTTAGCAACTTCTTAGATAATATTGAAGTTAAATTCAGCTAACTGAATCTAAATAAAGAGTTCAAATTAAAAGTCACATTTTATAACTTACAATCCAAAAGACCAACGAAATGAGAAGTTTCACCATCGCAAGGCTCTATTACATCGTATAAAGAAAAACTATAGGCAAATCTATATAAAATATTGAATACTATGATAAACAACAATATTGTTACTTTCCTGAAACATTTCAATTTATTAAGCAAGATTTAACGATAACGATAAGTTAACTCGCTAATAACCGTTAGTAGTTGAGGCAACTCTGAATTTACATTAAAAAAAAAATATACATAACTTAACGAATCAATTTAAACAAACTCGTTCGAATAAAATTTACACGTTTTTTAAAGAATAATTCGCTAAATGGTTGCAACCTAAAAATAATTCGGATCGGTACGACTACAATGCTTGGAATAAATACTACCGCAAAGGGTTAAATGGTCATCTTACAGTTCGCATAAGTATGTTTCCTTCAGTGAGCTGTTCGTAGTAGAACTCGATAGCGATGAAAGTTCCCTCTCGTCGTCGGCTGTTTGTATTTTAATTCCACTAGGCAGTTTGAGATCGTGCCAGTGTTCCCTCAAAAGATCTCTCATACTTTCATAAGGAATAGTCCTATTGAACTATTGATATTATTTATTAATACAGAAAATCAGTTGTATCGTTCCAAAAATAAGCGAGGTCAACCGTTGAATTACAGTGAGTAACTTAAACACTTGGACACTTCGCAATTATTACTTTGTCGATTTGTATATTTTTCAATAACGAAGGATCAAGTAATTAATATACATATCAGATTAAAACATTCAATCTAACCAACCTCTCGAGTTGGCAACTATTTCGTGGATATGCGTAACTAAACTGTATATAATTCGACACGATGCATGGAGCGCCAATAATTCTATTTATTAATTATTTTTGTAGAATGATATACTTTGAAACACTATAAAATGTGTAATGCAAAAAAACATTGCTTACACTATACGCGATTGTTTCTTCCTTTTTGTGGCTGTACTTCCGGAAGGCACCGGTCAACCGGAGTAATATCCCTTTTTGTTTATAATATAAACAACATTGATACCGGCTTTTACGTCAATCATGCGAAAACGTTCCAAAATTCGTCTCGCAAACTCGTCTAACTAAAATAAAGTAAAATGTATTTCTTTTCTTTCCTACTTAGAGTTCAGGTCACGTGACTCGCGGTTTTTCTGATATACGTTATCAAATACAGAAGTGCCAATAACTGTATCATTTAAAATTGATTGGATGTATTTGATGTGCGAATTAGAAGGACAATTATAACATCAAAGGTAATGCTGAAACGATTAAAAAGAAATAGAGTAATATTGGAACAGAAATTAAGGGGTTAGTCGCAGTCCTTTGTGATTTTTTTTAGTTATTAAATAATAATTTGCATAAGTAACAATTAAGTATATTATAAAGCATGTTTTAAAGAACTAAAAAACATTATTCGTTTTAAGAAACGTTTAATTTATATCGTCATAACAGCCGATGACGTAGACGATGATTTAAAAACATAGGTTTGCGGTGAGCAAGATTTCTCTACACTGGTTTACCTGAAAACAAAAACAAAGGTAGATATCGAAAACAGATTAATCTAGCGAGTCCCTGAACGAAGGATTTTGGAAAAAATTAATTTAAAACAAGATTGCGTACATTTGAAGTTGATTTTCAATTTTTTCACTAAAATTAAGCGATTCAATACAGGATAAAAAAAAAGTATACAAGAAAGTAAAAAATCTTTCGATCAGAGACCCGTTAGTCTAATGTATTTTCCAAATCTACCTTTAGTTTTGTTTTCAGGTGCACCAGTTTGAAGAAATCTTGCTCACCGCAAACCAAGTGACCACCCACGCCATCGCCTGTTATGACGAAATGAATTAACCTTTTTTTAAAACAAAAATTCTTTTATAGTTCTTTAAGACATATTTTGTAATATACTTACATTTCATTCAGAAAAAATATTATTTAATACCCACACACTAGAAAACTGTCCGTTTCCATTTTCCTGACTGCGACTAACCCCTTAAAACAGTTAACTGGTTAATAAACAGAATTATTATACACCTATATAAAGTTTATAGCATATACTTTATACAGTAATTCGACGCTAGTTGTGGAGTGGTAAGAATTTTTCTTTACATATTTTAAAGACACAATAATTCTGTTTAAAGATTGGCGTTATATAGATGTATAATAATTCTGTTTATTAACCAGTTAACTGTTTTAATTTCTGTTCCAATATCACTCTATTTCTTATTAATCGTTTCAGCATTACCTTTGATGTTATAATTGCCCTTCTAATTCGCACATCAAATACATCCAATCAATTTTAAATGATACAATTATTGGCACTTCTGTATTTGATAGCGTATATCGGAGAAACCGCGAGTCACGTGACCTGGTCTCTAAGTAGGAAAGAAAAGAAATACATTTTACTTTATTTTAGTTAGACGAGTTCGTGAGACGAGTTTTGGAACGTTTTCGCATGACTGACGTAAAAGTTGGTATCAATTCCTATGGACGTCAATCAGGATATAAGTA